GGTCATGAAAGAAGGGGTTCTCATCCCAGGGCCTGGCCAGGAGTCCAGAGGTTCATGGGAGATGTAGTTTGGGGTCTCTGGGGAGACCTTCCAGAGGTGGATGGATACACCAGTCTGAGCTCCTCCTCCACTGTTATACAGATGGAGAAACTGAGGCTCAGAAGGTATTCATGACCTGCTCAAAGTCACCCTGGGAGCAAGGATCTGTAGCTGAAGGAGCCTCCCCCACCACATCCCTTTCCACGGCTCAAGCCCTCCCACTTCCCCCAGCCTGTGCCTGCCTCTCAGCACACCTGAGGCTGCTGAGCACTGCCCATCGCTAGGGGCCCCATCACATGGACTTTACCCCGGGTGTGATGGTCCTTGCAGGAGAGGGTAGATGAGCCGGGACCACAGATGGGGAAATTTGGGAGAGAGGAGGGAAAGGCTTTGAGGGGACAGGAGGTGAGGATGGCTCCGGTATCTGACCTGCAGATCTAGGAGGAGCACAGGGGAGGAGGAGCGGGTTGGGGAGAAGGCGCTGAGCCAGGCGGGGAATGTGAGGGATGTGCGGGGTCTGGTGGTTGGCCGACGCTGGGGGCCCATCCAGGCTGGAGCCCAGGAGACAGATGTAGCAGATTTAGCAGGCTGCTGATGGGTGTGGAGACCTGGGGTGCAGATGAGCTTGTCCAGAGAAAGGGTGTGTGTGTGAGAGGGGAGAAGGAGCTGGCGTGGCTGAGGGGGGAGCTCTGGGCTTCCAGAGTGTCCCCCACACACGTAGGGACAGTGGAGAAGGGAGCTGAGAGGGAAGGGACAGGCCAGGTCAGGTGGGAGAGCACAGGCTTGAGCTGGGGGCTCAGGCTGGAGGATAGAGAGGAGGGGACAGGACAGAGTTCAGGGGGTAATGGGACAGGCTGGGCAAGGATAATGCCCCATATCTGACCTGGGTACTGGTGGTCAGTGAGTCAGTTCCCTGAGAGGAGGACTGGGGGCACACAGTGGGGTATGGAGAACTGGTACAGACATGGAGACACTTTCAGGAGCATCGGGCATCTTGATACAAGTCAAGGACTAGATGCCCTGGAGTCGGGAGCCTGGGAGCCATGTCTGACCTGAGTAGACTATGGGAGCCACTTGGGGGTGGGAAAGAGGGAAGAGGCCACTCTGAAAACAGGACAGCAGCCACTGGACAAGGCTGAAGGGACAGAACCCCATGTAAGCACCTCTCCTGATTGTCTCCTTCACGCCCCTCTCCAGGGAGCGCATCCTCTCCGGCAAGCTGGTGCGCAGAGCTGAGAAGCGCCTTAAGGAGGTGGTGCTCCAGGTGGAGGAGGAGCGGAGGGTGGCTGACCAGCTCCGGGACCAGGTGAGCAGCCAACGTCTCTGGGGAGCACTGTGGGGGATGGTCTCCATGCTATCTTTGTAGGCCGTGAGTTCCCATCGTGAGAGGCCATGTGCGGCCACCATCCTGGGGCTTGGTACATCAGCAGAGAGCTGGAATCAGTGACTTTGTGATCTGTAGATTGTGGAATCTAGGACAGGTCCTGGTGGGGAGCTGAGACAGCTAAGGAGAAGGAAGAAAAACCCTCCCCAGAGGCTAGGCCGGGGCTAAAATCATAACGTGTAATGTTTACAAAATGCCTTCTATGTGCCAGGCACTGTGTGAAAGACATAACGTGTAGTAAGTACATTTAGTTCTTATCAGAACCCTATAAGGCAGGTACTATCCTTTTCCCTCTTATTCAGGTGAGAAAGATGAGGCACAGAAAGGTGAAGTAACTTGTTCAAATTACTTAGCTCATAAGAGATGGAGTCTGGGTTCAAACCCCAGGACTCTGGAGGCAAAGTCTGTGCTCTTAATTATTTATTGAGCAGCAACTGTGCCCCCAAGTACTGTACCATGTGGTTTAAAAACAAAAACAAAAAAACAAAATCGTGTCTGCATTCTTTCTCCTGCCCCAATGCACAGGTGGGAAAACGGGAAACTTTAAAAGGGGACACAGTTTGTACCAAAGTCACACGGTTAATAGAGACAGAGCCTGCATCAGATCCCAGGTCTCTCTGACTATAGACAGAGTCACCGTGCCCTTAAAAGCTCAGCTGCGGCTTATTCACCCTGCATTCCACAATTATCGGGCACCCAGTACTATATTTGGCATTGGAGATATGGCTGTGAACAAGACAGAGAAGGTCCCCCCGTTCACAGAGCTCACATTTGTAGCATAGGAAAAGGAAGACACCTATAAACAAGGAAAGATGAGGACAGATTGTGACAGTGGCTATGAAGGAACAGGAGAATGAAGAGAGAAGATATGGAGGATTAGGGAATACTCCCTAGATTGGGGGTGAGGGAGTGGTGTCAGGAAGACCTCTCTAAGGAGGTGTCATATGAATTGAGAACTGAGGGGAGAGAAAGAACCAGGCAGAGGGAGCAGCAGGTGCAAAGGCCCTGGGGTGTGGAAATAAGTCTGGTGAGTTTAGAGCAAAAAGCAGAGCAGTGTGACTGGAGAGAAGAATGGGGAAGGGAGTTTGAGTGATAAGAAATGAGGCCAGAGGGGTTGGTGGGAGTCAGATCACACGTGTCCCCTCCCTGGAGACAGAGATGGCAGGGTTTGGGGAGGGTCTTGATGAAGATGGTCTGGCCAATGGGTTTATGGGAAGAAGACCCTGCAGGGCCTGGAACGCCGGACTGAGGGGCTGGGACCTTGTCCCAGCGCCACTAGGGAGCCATGGGAGGGCTTTGAGCAGAGGAGAGATGGGGTCAGCTCTGGGCATAGAAAGACCAAGTGAGGGACAGCCTCACATTTGAAGCTGGGATGGAGGCTGGCAAGAGGATCTAGAACAAAGCATGAACAGAAGGCAAGGCACAGGGTGTGGGGTGTGGGGCAGGAGGGATGGGCCTCTGGGGGCCAAGGGAGTGAGTGAGGACGTCACCTGGAGACTCAACCCAGCCCTCTGCTCCCACCAAGCTGGAGAAGGGCAACCTTCGGGTGAAACAGCTGAAGCGGCAGCTGGAAGAAGCTGAGGAGGAGGCGTCCCGGGCTCAGTCAGTCCGCCGGAGGCTGCAGCACGAGCTGGAAGATGTCACAGAAGCCTCAGAGTCCATGAACCGCGAGTTGAACACGCTGAGGAACCGGCTCCGGTACGGCCAGCTGCGCATGCGCACCCTCGCTCCATAGGCCCCGCCCCCCAGCTCTCTCTGCCGCCCTCTTTTAACCTCTATCTCTTGGTTTTCCCTTCTCCCTGCAGACGCGGCCCCCTCACCTTCACCACCCGCACCGTGCGCCAGGTCTTCCGACTGGAGGAGGGCGTAGTCTCGGAAGAGGAGGCCGAGGAGGCGGAGCCTGGGGCTGGGCCGCCACCCCAGGAGCCTGATGGGCCGCCGGTGTCCCAGCCCCAGTGACCCCATCCTGTCTCCAGCCATGGCTCCTCCCTCCCTGGCCCCTCGATGCTCCAGTCCCAGGAACCCTCCCTCCGGCTTCTTGCACTTTGGAAATGGTGCCACCCTCTGGCACTGCAGCGCTTACCAACCCCATGGTGGGGGGGCGGGGGCGCTGAGACCTCCTGTGAACTCCTACTAAACACAGAGGAGCAGACGAGCAGGGAGACGAGGACTGGGGCTCTCGCTGGGAAGGAGATCGAGGTGTAGTTGGCAAGCTGTGGTCCCGAAGGGCTCCCCTCTATCCTTAATTGTTAATGATCTTTATTAGCAAGGGAGCATGGCTCCCCTGCCCTGCGAAGCTAGGGTTCCCTTCCCCCGCTCCCTCTCTTCCTCTCTCCACTTAGCCCCTGACCCCTGAACTTCTGATCGACAACAGCCTGAGGCCCAGGTCTCCACCAGCCTTTGACCCTTGCAGAGGGGCGGGATAAGGGGACCCCTCTCTCCCCACCTCCCCCCCCCCCCCCATGCTCTGCCCTCCTTTCTGGTTGCTCTTGTGTGATCACAATTCGGTTGGATTTTCCTGCGGGGGCTGGAGGAGGCCCCATATCCTCCCAGCGTCCAGGCTCTCGCAGAAATAAACTCCAACCCCAACTGGACCTCCATGGGGCTGTAGTGTATTCCTGCTCAGGGATCTCTGATGGGGCAGCAGGTGGGGCAGTCTGCTGGTTCGAATCACAGCTGACCAGTATTGGGAGCCTCCGAGGTACCGGCATTTAATGTGGAAAAACTCATTTCAGCCTCCTTCCCAGGTATTCCCTCCATTATACAGGTGGGGAAACAGACTGAGCTGTGCTGTCCCTTGCTCCAAGCCTCCCAGTAAGTGGCAGAAGGGATGCTGCACTCTGGCTGACCCTCAAGTCTTTGCAAAACAGTGACAGAGTGACTGTTGAGCCACCTGTTGAGTAGTGATCCTTTGTTTAACTGAACATGGGCTAAACGTGGGACGCTCGTCTCAACCTTCAACACAACCACTAGAGGTAGGGATTCCATTGCTTTCCAGCACCTAGAATAGTGCCTGGCATTTAGTTGGAATTCATGTATTTGCTGAATGAATAGATCACCCCCTCCTGCCCTGTTAGAGTGGTAGAAACAAGCCCAAGAGTTGAGAGACTTGCCCAAGAACACACAGCTACCAAGGAGTTGAACCCACACAGTCTGGCTTGAGAGTGGGCAATATGGAGCATGTGACCCTTGGCCCCTAATCTTACTGGAGACCTAGCTCCACTCCTCTCCTAGGGTTGTCACCCTCACCTCAGAGCTCCTATTACCAGGTGCCCTCACAGTTTCAAGTTAGGGGTGTGGATCCCCATTTTTACCATCAGGGAGACTGAGGCAGTCACTTCTTCCCCCCCCCCCCAGTCAACCCCCAGAAAAGTCACAAGCTGAGAGCCAGCGACCAAGGGGATGTCTGGACCCCCTAAAGTGCACACCCTTGCTACTTTAATATGACCCCTGTTCTTGAAGACCCAACTCCTCTGCTCCCAAAACTCCCACCCTGGCCCAGATCCGGAGACCTTCCCAGCAAACAGGTTGCAACTTTTAAATGAAAAGGAAACTTTTATTTTGGTGGGAAGTGAGAGGGTGGGTGGGAAGGGGGCATGACACTTTTTCTTTGGGGAGGGCAGGTGACATGCGGCAGCTTCTGCATTGGGCGGTTCATGCACCCAGGGTGGGCGTGGGAGAGACTTGGGGGAGGGGCCATACCGACCCCTCCCTCCCTGCCCTGGGGGTGGGCTGAGAAGACCCGCCATTAGCACCAGAGTTGGACGATTTGCAGACCTCCCCTCCCCACACTGACTCCGGACACCCGCCCCCATCCCTGAGAGCGCCCCCTCGCCACTCCTCCCACCTCCCACTGCGACAGGCCAGGCCCGCCCCGCCCACATTTGAGTGAGAGAATCTTATTGCTGTGTGTGTGATGGGGAGGAGGAGCCGCTGAACTCAGGAAGACCCCCGCTGTTCGTTCCTCCCCAATCGCCCCGCCCCCCGCCCCGTGTCCGTGCGTTCGCGGAGCGCAGGAGGGGCGCGACATGCGTGTGGGGAGCGCGTCATGCAGCGCATGCGTATAGTTGCAGGCACCCTGGCGGCCGGGGAGAAAAGGGGAGCGGGACTTGGAAGTTGTCCCTTTAGCGCTCTCTCTTCCTCCCCGAATCCCACACTGTTGACTTGGGGGATGGGGGCGGTGGTGAAGGACGTGAGTCACGTTCTGTAAAGGGTTATGATTGTGATTATTTTTAAAAGCTGAACTAAAAAGCTGGGTACGTGTGGCAGATTGGCGAGCAGGGGGGAGACGTTGGGAAGAGGTCTGTACCCTTTGGAAAAATCCTCACCCCCTTTCCCCGCACTGTTCGGCTTCCGTGAGGGTCAGGGGAATCTGGGGGCTTTTTTTTTTTTTTTTTTTTTAAAGAAGTTAAACCCTTTGGCAACGTAATCAGTCCCCACCCCCATACCCTGGTGTCTGGAGTCCCTAGCCCTTTGCCTCGCCCCACCCCGCTCCCACCAGAACCTGCCCCACCCCTCACCCCTGATTCGTCAGGGTTTAGGGTCCGAGGGAAGGATGGGGGGGGACTCAAAATGCCCCTTGCATAGGAATCGTTGCATCAAGAATCGTGCTCAGTGACACCCCCCCAACCCTCGGGTGGGTGGGGGGTTCCTGAGGCCGTGGGAGCAGAGGGAGGAAGGTTGCTAATTCCGTGGGCCTCCAGCTCCAAAAGGGGGGGTCCCCTCTAAGGATTCTGGGACCGGTGTGGTCTCTGGGCTTGGGGGAGGTAGCGCATCCTTGAGCCAGGATGGGATATGACAAATGATCTTCCACCCGCGAACATGGCAGGACGAGGAATGCCGGGGAAGGGCGGGCTGGGATCCCAGCCCCGGTAGGTTTGTCGTTTCCCAAGCTTCTGATGTTCCAGTATCCCTTGACGGGAGCACAGCCTCTGCTGTAAGTGGAAACACTCTACCCTAAAGAAACGGTGTCTGGGCCAGGCAGCAGTATCTGGACTTACCGGCTTCTGTGCAAGATGCCATAACGGACAAAACTTTTTAGATTAAGTGTCGTTGTACTGCCTAAAACCTTAGCACATCACCAGGGGTACAAATACAACCCTCTGGGAAACACTGATGTCCATTAAGAGGGTCCCTTTGGGGCACCATTTAAGGAGAGGGGCTCTTGGAAGAGGCAGGGCTAGGCATAAGAAAGGGGATGCCCGGGGGAAGGCTGGTTCCCTGGAATTGCGGACAGGTTGAGCCTATCTTGGAAATTCTAGCATCGGGAGAACCTGAGGTGGATGTCTGATGTCAGGGATTTGGGGATATGTGGAGGGGGGGAGGCCTGAGGATTTGGTGGCGTCCAAGAAATGTCCAAGTGGGAAGGACTTGGAGCATCCCAGAGGCTGAAAGGGAACCGAAGGGCTGGGTCAAGTCTTGGAGGTTTGAGGTGCTGGGATGCAGTCCAGGCAATGGGTGGGGAGGGGCTTGGGGGGCAGCATCTGTATGCAGAGGTTAAGTCCCAGGACCCTGTGGGGATTTAGGGGATGCGGGGTGCCAGGGTTGGTCTCAGGAATTCTGGGTGCAGGTCTCATGTCCTGGTAATCTGGAGGGGGTGTTGGGGAATTTTGTGTGCTCGGGCTAGATCCTCCCAGAAATTCTGAGATGGGAGGTCTGAGTCCATGCAGCAAGAATGGAGGCGAGCAGATCCCTTGGTGGGGGAGGGGGTCTGGGGAGGGATGAAAGGGTCACATCCACCAGAGGGATCCTCCTAAAGGCTGAGGGAGCAGCTGTCCACAGCACAGCCCTGTGCCTCTGCTTCTACCATCTGAGCTCAGCTCGTTTTGGGGGCTTTAGTGACTGTTCCTCCTTCCCGCACACTGTTGCTAATATATATATTTTTTACATCAATGTGATGGGTTGCCCTCCTGGGGTGAAGGGTAGGAGGCTAGGATACCCACCCGTGGCTTAAAGGCCAGCCCGACTCCCTTGAGGTCCCCGCCCCCTTCCCAGAATGCCCCTTCCCTCATTCGCGTGGCATGCAGCCCCTGGCGGCTTATTGCTGAGGTGGAGTTGGGGGCGGGGTCCAGGTTGAGAGAGGCATGCAGAGTAGGGGAGAGGCGCCCCAAAATGTAATTGGCATAATTTGGACGTATTTACAGGAGTTTATGGGAGCGGGAAGTCCTATGGCTCATGGAGACCTGAGAAGGCTTTATTTGGGAGTGGGGGAGTGGAGAGTTGGGGGGGCTGGACTTTGGCTCCTCCCCCTCCATCCTGGGAGCCCAGGTGGGGGTGAGGGGTCCGGGGGTGTCTGCTGGCGTCGTCGTCTCGGTTGCATATTATTAATGACTTTTTGATTTTTTTTTTTAAAAAAAACCCTTTCCCCCACCCCCCACCCCCAGCTCCTTTGACCTTCTTCCCTGTCACCCCCGAGTCCCCCCACGGGGGGGAGGGGAGCGCTAGAGGATGGAGGGCAGGGTTGGGGGAGCGCGGCGGGCGGCCCTGGGAGAACCAGGGGGAGTGGCAAGGGGCGCCAGGCGCAGGGACACCCCGCTCAGGCCCGCGATGCTGCTCAGGCTGCGGGATTTCTCGTAACCTGGGGGGGGGGGTCAGAAACACGGGAGGAAGCATGGAGATGGGGTGCAGGGAAAGGGTCCAACAAGGAAGCAGGGGAGAAATGGCCAGAAGGGATAAGAGACGGAGAAAGAAAGAGAGAGAGGCAGAGAGACAGAAAGAAGTTAAGCAGAGGGTCAGGGATAGAGACGGTGAGGGAGACAGAGGGGATGAGAGACGAGGCAGTCAGACACCAAGACATAACAAGACAGATGGCAGAGGCAGAGAGATGGACAGAGGCGGACCAAGGAGATGGAGAGAGGTGAACAAATTGGACAGTCAGTCGGCATCAAGGAGAAAGGTTCAGACATGGGGAAGGGGGAGAGACCCAGGGTTAGGAGGCAGGGTGGCGCCCGCCCACCGAGCCTCCCTCCCCCCAACCCCACTGCAGCCCGCCCCCCACCTCCCCTCCCCCTCCCCCGTTGGCCCCCTTATCTGAGGCAAAAAGGTGGGAGGGGGCAGCAAGGCGGATGGTGGGCAGCACGGGCATGGGGAGGGAGCTCGGGCATGGGGAGGGAGCTCGGTGGAATGCATGTAGGGGGAGCAGCCGGTGGGAGGGCTCAGGTGGGGGCTGACCTAGTTGTGGGGAAAAGGGGGAAAGGCTGGAGATGGGGCTGTGAGGGGGAGCAAGGAGGTAAAGCTGGCAGTGCCCCCGGAGGGGCTAGAGAGCAGTCTGAGAGGGGCAAGGCTCACCTGAAGGTTGTAATGGGGTATCTTTAAAGGGTCATGAAGTCTTGAGGTGGAAACCTTCTGATGGGAAAGTTCTAACAATGTCTTGATAGCCAAAGGGGTCTAAGATTGGGGAGTATGTGTGTGGTTTCTTGAAAGCTTGGGAAGATATGAGTTCTGCCAGTGTCTGCGGGAAGTTCTAGTGCAGATTCTCTAGGCGATGCCAAGAGGTCTGTCTGGATAAGGGCATCTTGGCCAGAGGAGAGGGGGCCTGGGGGGTGGGGGTTGGAAGCCCAGCATCTTGGGGACACCCCCTCCCAGCCATTCCCAATTGCTAACCTGGGGGGAAGGGGCAGGGGGGGACCGAGGGTCTCGCGAGGTCTCAGGCGGTGACAAGAGCTGGGGACAGAAATACACAGAGTCACGGTGGGGGGAGGGTGGTCAGGGGGAACCCCCCAACACAGCCTCACTGTTGGGGGGACGGAGAAACGCCGGAATCTCTTCTTCCTCTCTGGTGTTTTCCGGGGGAAGGGGAGCAGTGAAATGGGGGCGGCCAAAGACATCAAATATGGAAGGAGCTTCCGGGGTGGCTGGGGGGGGGGGGAGGGTGAGGAGGAGGACCAAGGAAGGGAGGTGGGGGGAGGGTTGGGGAAGAAGGGGGAACAGGTGTCAGGTGTTGGACTCAGGAGGCTGGTGTGAGAAGAAGAAGGGAAGGGTCATGGGGTGGGCAAGGGGCGGGCCAGGGGGAATGGTCTTGGGAGAAGGAGTGGGGGGACAGTAGTGGAAGGGGGGGTCACCCAGGAAGGACAGAGAGAAAGGGAGGAGCTTGGGAGTGCAGGAATGGGGAGGGATCCAGGATCCAGGGGCAGAGAACTCAGTCAGCCCCATCAGCTCCAGCCATTATTTGAGTTCAGTGAATGGATTTTGGCATCAGAGGCAAGAGCAGCGGAGACCTCCACCCACCCACCCCCACTCCACCCTCCCTTCCATTCCCAAATCCTCCACACTCCCTCTGCCCCTCAATTCTCTGGGGGCCCATCTAGACCTGGGGGGGGCAAAGGGTGGAAGGGGACTGGGTGCAAGCAGGGGGAGGGATGAGGTGGGAGCAGGGAAGGGGGGAATGAGATGAAAATGGAGGATGAATTGGGGCAGATGGAGGGATGGAATGAGGAGAGCCACAGTCCCTCCTGGACTAAGAGCCTGGAAGCCTGGGTTCTCATCCCTGTCTGCTCTGTGGATGGGGTTGTTCATGGCCCCCCTGAACTTCTGTGAAACAAGGGGCTTGAGACAAGGGTGTCCCTGCAGGCTCCCCAAGTCCCACGACAGCATCTTCCTAGGCTGCAGACAGGGACTCTTTGGGCTATATCTCTGTATTTCTAAAGAAGGCTCCACAGATGGTTGCTGACGGATTAAGTGACAGATAGGTCAAGTGCCTTCAGGCAGCTTCCTGTCACTTTGAAGATCAAATCCAGCCTCTCACAAAAACCCCTCATGATCCTCCCCCCCCATACTCTGCCTGACACCCCCCTCCCCTCAGCTACTCAGTTTCAGCCACACTTCCCTCCTTGCTCTTCCTTTGACAAACCAAGCTCATCCCACCTCAGTATCCCCTGGAACTTTGCACTTGCTGTTCCTTCTGCCCCACTGGCCCTTTTTACCGTTCAGGTTTCTGTGTTACCTCCTCAAAAAGGCCTTTGCAGAACCCCCCCATCTGAAGTGGCCAGAGTAAGCATCTTGTTCGTTTGTTTGATTTTCTGCTTCCTCTGATCAGGAGGTGGCAAACTTTTCCTGCAAAGGGCTAATTCCTAAATATTTTCAGCTCTGTGGGCCACACGTTCTCCGTGGCAACTCTTCCACTCTACTGTTGTAGCACGACAGTGGCTGTGTTCCAATAAAGCTTTATTTACAAAACAGCTTGCTGGCAGACCTGGCCCAGGGGCTGAAGTGTGTTAACCCGTGCTGAAACGTGTACGCTCTGTGATGGCAGATTCTTGCTTTGGGCACTGCCAAATCTCCAGTGCCTGGAACTGTGCCCTCAGTAATTAGCTGCTCGATGGATGGATAGATGGATGGATGGAGGGAGGGAGGGAAGCAAGCTCTATGTGTTAAGTTAGGGTTGCTATGAAGACTGCAGAATATGTGTTCACTTCCTGGCATGAGATAAATGCTAGACTGTGTTTGCTGAAAGATTCATCTACTACGTCGCCACTCTGTCCCCCACGTCTCCTCACTGCCAGTCCCCCAGCCTTGTCCCTCCCGAGCCCACCCGGATCCCTGACTCCCTCTACCTTGTCCCTTCCTCTCCATCCCTGTGCACAACCCTGAGCTGGGCCCAGGTGGCATCCTCCCCCTGGACCTTCATCCCAGCCTGTGACCTCCAGCCTCCTGACCTCCAATCCATCCGCACACAGCCCAGGAGCTGACCTGCACTCCCCGGGGCCCTAAACAAGGTCCTGGCCCTTCAGCCCAGCCCGGCTTTCCTGCCTGTCTGCCTGCCAGTCCCCAGTCTCCTCAGCTTTGCTTGTGCTGGTCCCTCTGGCCACTACCCTCTAATGGGATCACTTCTTCACTTGAGGTCAGGCTAACTCCAGACATCAGTTCCTTCAGGAAGCCTTCCCCGTCACTTCCCTCCTACCCGGGGGAGTTTCGAGTGTTCCTCATACTGCGCATCCCTGTGCTGCCTCCACTTCCAGAGATCACCTCAAATAGGGACTTTCTAGGTCGGTGTCTGTCTCTCCCATCAGACTGGGAGCTCCTCTGGGGGCGGGGGGATGGTCTTCTGCCCTGCTGATTCCCTGTGCCTAGCACCGCTCCAGGAACATGCGGGTACTCTGTAAGCGCTGGCCAGTTCACAAGCCACTGGGTGAGTGACTGAGTCTTCCTCACCCCGGCGTGCACCCAGAAGTGTCCTGGGTGTGCACCCTGTTTTCTTAATTGAATAATAATAATAATAAAACACCCAGGGGGAGGCAGGGAGAGAGATGTGGATGGGGGTGAGGATGGGGGGTCAGTCGTGAGGGCAGGGAAGGGAGGTCAGGCACATGGTGGGGAGGGCTGGGTTAGTTCTGGGGGGTTAGTGAGGGGCAGGGCAAGTCCTGGGCAGGTGAGTGTGGGGTCAGTGTCGTGGCTGCAGGTTAATTGGATGGAGCTGTTCAGTGAGGGGACGGGAGTCTCAGTCAGTGGGGGCTGCATGTTCTCAGAGGGGTTAGTCAGGAGGGAGGTAGGGATCAAAGAGTGGGGGCTACTTACCCCGGGGGGAGGGGATTCGTCCGCTAGGGGGATATCCAGGCTGCAGCGTTGGCGTTGAGGTCGGGCAAGAAGCTTGGGGGACCTGGCTTACGCCAGTCTGGGGGGGGCAGTGGGGGAGCACCAATGGCTGGGGGTGGGGGAAGAGGCCAGAGGGTCCAGGGTGGGGGGGGAGATGGAGATGGAATAAAGACAGGTGAAGGGTCAGTGGTGAGGAAATTTGGGGGGGGGGGTCTGAGAGGAAGGGAATTTGGGGCCAGGGGATGGGTCAAGGGAAGTCCAGCACCTCCTCCCCCATCTCCCTCTCCCCCCTCCCCTGAGGGAGGGAGAGAGAAAGAGGGAGGGTCCCAGGGGGCCGGTGGAGGGCACCTCACCTTTCCGGATGGAGCCATCAGGGGAAGGGGCATAGTCGGTGAGGAGGAAGCAGGCTCGGTCCCGGCTATAGCGTCCTCGGCTCCCGGGGGTGATGGGGCTCTTGTCTTCCGGGGACATGGCGGGCTGGTCGATGGCTGGGCAGTCCTCGTGGGCAAGCGCAGCTGCGGCAGGGTCCCCGTTGGGGCGTGGATCTGCACCAGGGGGTCAAACAGAGACACAAAGGAGGTGTGGGAACTCAAGGTGGGGGTGAGATTAGCAAGGAGGGTGTTGGAGAATGTTGGGTGCTGGAAGTAGATGATTGAGGGGCAGGGGGTCTCAAGGAGGCGACAGGAGGGGTGCACAATTGGAAGCAGGGTGTCAGGGCGTGTGCCTGGTGGGTTGAGGGAGCAGGTCATTGGGGGAGGGTGTTGAGTACTGGGAAGGACAACAGGGAGACGGAAGGGTGGTTAGGCGTGGATGTAAAGGGAGGGCGTTGAGTGGTAGGAAGCGGTGGTCGGGCCAGGTGTTGGGTGTTGGGAAGGGCAGGACTGGGGTGGGGTGTTGGGCACTTGGAGGGTGGTTGGGAAGCGAGCTGGGTGCTGGGAAAGAGGCTGGGTTAGAGTGCTGGGTGGGCAGTTGGTTGAAGTGAACTAAGTAGGGCAGGACTAGGGTGCAGTGTTGGGTTGGTAGGGTGCATGGCTTGGGATGGGTTTGGAAGGATGGCTGGGGGATCTAGGGTGTTGGGAGGGAGTTGTTTAGGGAGGGTGTTGGGTGCTGGAAAGGGCACAGTGGGGAAGGGTTGGGAAGGTGACAGAGGGAGGGGGAGGTGGGGGTCCCCCAGGCTCTGACTTAAGCTATTTTTAATTGGTGTGAAACTGGGTCAGTGGCTGAGGGAGCAAGATGAGGGCTGGGTGGCCCAGCTCCCTTTCTTGACCTACTTAAGTCACGGGGGTGGGGCCCACCAGCCTCTCCCTGCCCCGGACTGCCGCCCCCAATCATCGCCTCAGAGACGCAGACTCTCTGGGGGGGGGGGGGGGGCGCAACACTCGGTCAACTTTCTTCTCCCTCATCTCCTTCGCTTCACCTCTTTATCTCGGCAGCCTCTCTGTGAGTCTCTCAGACCCCTCTTCGGCTGCTCTCAGAGCCAGAGATGGGGCCCTGGGACCCGAGTCACAGTCACGTGGCCGGTCGCCCTCTGGGCCTATCTTCCTGGCCTCTATCTGCCTTTGGGTTTTTAAGTCTTGTCTCCTCTCTTGGGATGCGAAGGATTCGGACAAAGCGGACAATCCGCAGGAGGCCCAGCACGTCTTTAGCAGCCTTGGAGCTGAGGCCTGAGAGTCCCACCTCGAGATAGAAGGGCAAGATGGCCACACAGTCGAACCTGAACTCTCTGCCACTGACCGCCCCCCCCCCCCCCACTGCTCCCTCCATCTGTCCTCTCTCTCCTGCTCTCAGGGACAATCGCTTGGTTTCTGACTGTCGCTTTTAGACGCTCTTCTCAGGGTCATGGCTGGAAGACTCAGAGACTGCAGCTGTCCCTTGGCCAGGTTTCCGGCCGGCCTGTGACTCCCCCTCACCGGAGGCTGATTACTCTGCCTCCCTGGTCCCCCGGAATATCTTGGCTGTCCCCGGCATATCTGTCTCTCCCCAAACTGTCTCTCACACAGAATCTGTTTCTGTGCCTTTTCACTGACCTCAGCAACAGCCGTTTGCTCTTCCCTCTCCCCTGTCGTGCCCCCCCCCATCTCTCTTAACCTCAGCAGTGACCTCCTGCCCCCTCGAAACCTCTCCGCCTCCTCCCACGGGTCTCTGCCTGTGCTCCCCCCACCCACCCCTCATGCACCCTTCTCACCTGCCCGGTTGATCTCAATGACTTCCTCCTGAGCCAATGGGCAAGGCTCCCCAGGGGCTGGCAGAGGAGGCAGCCCCATGATCCCGAGCCCACCCGCTCCCCCCCTGAGCAGCCCGGGGTGCGTGTGGGGGCCCGGTGGGTAGGCCCCAGCCACAGTCACCCCCACGGAAGGTGGGGTGATGGGGGGCGGGGGGCTGATGCCACCGCTGCCGTGGTGGGGGTGGTGCGGGGGGGGCGGGGGAGGGTCGGGCTTGCAGTAGTTTGGAGAGCCGGGCTGTGGGGGGCGGGGGATATGTTTGTTCTTCTTCTTGGGCAGCTTCTGCTTGGCCATGGCCAGCGAATAGTACATGCCAAAGTTGTTGACAATGACGGGCACGGGCATGGCGATGGTGAGCACCCCCGCCAGGGCACACAGTGCCCCGACCAGCATCCCCGACCACGTCTTGGGGTACATGTCTCCGTAGCCCAGGGTCGTCATGGTGACCACGGCCCACCAGAAGCCGATGGGGATGTTCTTGAAGTAGGTGTGGTTGGAGCCCAGGATGTCATCAGGGTCAGCGCCGATGCGCTCCGCGTAGTAGATCATGGTAGCGAAGATGAGCACGCCCAGCGCCAGGAAGATGATGAGCAGCAGGAACTCGTTGGTACTGGCACGGAGTGTGTGGCCCAGCACGCGCAGCCCCACAAAGTGGCGCGTGAGCTTGAAGATGCGAAGGATTCGGACAAAGCGGACAACCCGCAGGAAGCCCAGCACGTCTTTAGCAGCCTTGGAGCTGAGGCCTGAGAGGCCCACCTCGAGATAGAAGGGCAAGATGGCCACACAGTCGATGATGTTGAGGCTGCTCTTGAGAAATTCCACCTTGTCGGGGCAGAAGGTGATGCGCATGAGGAACTCGAAGGTGAACCAGACCACACACACGCCCTCCACATAGGTCAGGAAGGGCTCCGTCTCCACCTCCACATTGGTGATGTTCTCTGGTGGAGCCCCGGGGATCGGGGAGGCCTGTGTCACCGTCTTGTTGCTGATGTGGATGAAGCCTTCATGGGTCTCCAGGCAGAAGGTGGTTATGGAGATGAGGATGAAGAAGAGGGAGGCGAAGGCTACATACTGTGAGGCAGGGTAGGAGAGAGAGGGCAAAAGGTGACCCAGGCATCTGGTCAACCAGCCATATCCACAAGACCCTCCCAGTGGCCCCTCTTCCCAGCCCCCCAAGCCCCGAGAAATCCCAGGCCTCCATCACAGCCTGCATCCTGCTGTCCCCTCTAACGCTGAAAAAAGGGAGGGAAAGGAGGAGGCAGCTCTCCCCAGCTTGGGATAGGAGCTGGCTCCAGCAGTGGAAACAGATGGGCAACTGTTTTCATGGAAACAGCAATTTCTGGTCCTTTACTCTGTCTCCCAGACCACTTCCCCATACCCTGTGTCCCATCTCAGGACTCCCCAGCAGGGTCCAGATTCTGGGGGGGAGGGGTGGGGTGGGGTGGGGTGAGACCAAGATCACTCACCCTCTGTGTATCAGAGGCTTTGGAGCTCGGCTTGGAGCCAAGGGAAGGAGAAGGGAGAAGGTGGGTAGGGAGGCAGAATCCCCGATATGGTTAAGAAAACCTGGATTTGAATCCAGCTTTTCCTGTGCCTAATTTGGGCAAGGAGATTAAGCTTTCCACACCTCAGTGTTTTTTTTGTTTTGTTTTGTTTTGTTTTTACCAGATTATTATGAGGATTATATGAGTATACAAAAGTCCTGGCTCCAGAAACAGTGCTTACTGAGTCTGGAACTCAGTAAGAAAGTCTGAGCTCCTATTAGGGTATGCAGGCATCAGTTAGTTGTGGGCAAGGTCGAGGCCTTCAGAGAGGAGCCAGGGTTTTAAGGACCCTGGTTCCAATGTCCGGCCTCAGAGAAGGGAGAAAGCTGGGTGTCACCCTCACCCAGAGAGGACAGTAAATGGCTGGAACCACAGAGGGGTATTAGGGCCATAAATAGGAAAAGAAGTGAAGGGTGAAGTCTGCAAAAATTGAAAAGAATAGAAGGAAGGAGGGTTAGGGTTTCAGGCTCTGGAGAGGAAGGGAGGGTGGGGGGCCTAAGCGTCAGGGGAGATGGTGGAGCTAGGGCCACAGAGGTGAGGACGCTTTAGCCAAAAGTGCAGAGAAGGGGGTGGGGCACACATGGGTTATTTCAGGATGGGGAGGACCAGAGTCCTGCACGCAATGGTGTGGATTTTGAAGAAAACCTTGAGGAGCAGAGGGGGATGCAGTCAAGATCTTAGAGAAGGAAGGAGACAGAGCTGGCCCCTGGAGGTGACAGTGGGCTTTATCAAATAGGTAGAGAGGAGAAGAAAAGAGTGGGGTTAGTGCCTTGCAGGAAGGAGATGGGTGTTAACGCAAAGAGGGGGCTTTAGTCAGTTGGGTAGAGGAGGAAGGACGGCCTGGGTAGCTTGAGTTTTAATCAGGGATGCAGAGAAAAGCGGGGGCCCAGGGTCCGACTGCAGACAGGACCCCAGACCTTGGGGTGGGCTGGGGGCCTGCACAGCCCCTCAGCCACTCTCCTTCCTCCACAGGGCTGGGGGGCGGGGTCTGGGCTTGGGAAGGCTCAACTTTAATCTGAAGCGCAGAGCAGAGAGGGCCCTGGACCTTGGGGTGGGCTGGGGTCAGCGCCGGCCCTCTCTTCCCCGTCCCCCTCCTCGTTTCTCCGCAGTGGTTTAATAAGAGGCCGGAGGCCGCCGCACAGCGCATGCCCGGTGCTCCTCCGCCCCCTCCGAGCCGGGTGCGCGGCGCAGGCTGCGGCTCCGCAGTGGGGGCGGGCCGGCCGGGCCGGGGGGCGGGGCGCGCGGCGGCCAGCACCGCGGCCAGCTCCCCCGCCGCAGTGCGCAGCCTCCGCGGCTGAGAGCGTTCTTAACCCCTTCCGGGCCGGAGCAGAGCAAGGAGGGCGCAGCCGCAGTGCCGCCGCTTCACCTCGGGAGTTTAACCCAGGAGTTTAACTCCTTCCCTCCCAGGGCAAGGAAGAAAAGACGGGCACACCCGTCGCAGTGCACAGCTGTAGAGGCTGGACAGCGTCGGGACCGGTTTAACCCCTTGCCCCGAGGTGATTCAAAAGCAGAAGGGGCAGGAGGGCAAGGAGTCCCTGTAAGAAGGAAAGGAAAAATTACGGGGAAGGGAGCGAGGATGAGGTAGGGCCGTACTCTCGACGTTGCACTGGCAACTCCAACTCTGTCAAGCTCTCTCACTTGTAGGCTGGAAAGTACTTGGCAAGCCGACACTCAAAACCATTTGTGGAGTAAGTGAGTGACAAGCCCCCCTCCCCCGTAACTGTCCCGAACCTCTCTTCTCACCTCAGCACCCTTCAATGGGGTTACGAGAGAAGGGCGCCCCAGGCCATGGGGGAGGGGGCCACTCAGAGGCCTGAGGGGGCATTTAGGGCCAAGTCCCTTCGAAACCTCGTCCTCCCCACCTCCCCCCACCCAGCCCCAAATCTCGCCAACTCAGCGCTTCCTGGGACCAAACTTTATGCGGTGCCTCTGGGCTCCCCCCCCCCCTTCGCTCCCTCCCCTGGCGCGAATGCGGCACTGCGGCTCCGCGTCCTTCCCGGCCCAGGACACGGCACGGTGGGGGGAGGGGGGCGGACCGGTTCCTCCGGGTGTTTGGGTCCCCGGGAGGCTGGGGGGGGGGGGCCGGAGTTGTTCCTCTTTCCCCTCCTTTCTGATCCCCCATTTTGAACTGTCCCCCTCTTTCAACACAGGGAGGAAGTTAGTAGGAGGAAGAGGTTCAAGGGAGAACAAAGGGGGAGGGTAGCTATTTAACCTAGGAAGTTAGAGATGTTTGAAGGAAGTTTTGGGGGGAAGATGAAGGGAGCTTTGGGGAAAATCTGGCATTTCAAGGGAGATAAGGCTAGAGTGTGTGCGCTCTGGTTCACTTTGGGGGTAGGTTTGGATGGTGGGAGGGCGGGGAGCTTGGGAAAGAGGGAGTGAGCAGGGTGGGGTAGCGGCCAGTGGAAAGATACCAAGGCAGAGTGGAAAGAATTGGAAGCTACTTTGGGAAGGAAGTTTTGGGACAGATAAATGGGGGGTGGGGAGGGGAGGAGTCCCAAAGACTGAGGTTCATTAAAGTTCTGGAACAGGAGGAAAAGTCAGTTGATTGACTTGGAAAAGGACTGGGAGGCTCTGGATGGGGGATCCCAGAGATAAAGAGTGGGAAGGGAGAAGAAGCTGGGAGAATCTGTGGATGAAGAAGGCATATGGGAGCTTCTGGAGAGGAAAGACATATTATGGGGGCTCAAGACTCTTCTGGAGACACTGAGGAGGAGTGTGAAAGGCTTGGGGGAAGTCTGGAGCTTTATAGGGAAAGTCCTTGGGATGGGAGTTGGCGTGGAAGATGCAGGAAGCTATGTGAACACAGAGACACAGAGGGGACTGGATAGGGTCCCAGGAGGGAAGGCTCCCCAAGACTCCGTGTTGCAGTAGGGGGAGGGGGAAAGTGTGCTAGCCAGAGCAAGTGGTTTGGGGATTCACAGGGGTCCAGGAGGCTCTGAGATTGAGGCGGAGTCTTCTAAGACTTTAAGAGCAGAAGTGGGGTTCAAAAATAGCCAGAAGACTCAAACTTGGAGAGAGGGGGAGGTGCAGGGAGAGAGGCATAGGGAGATAGAATCAGGGAGGTGTTGGGAGAACCCAAGGGACTGAGGGTTGGAGAGGGGGCTTCCGAGGAGCTGCAGGGGGTCAGGGAAAGGAGGGGACAGTGTTCACAGGGTCTGGGACGCTGAAGGTTAAGAAGGGAGGTCTTCTGAGGGTCTGGGGATGGTCCAAGAAACTGAGGGTTGCAGAGGGGTTCTCTAGGGATCTGAGGGGTAACCAAGAGAGGTGAAAAGGATTCACAGGGGCTCAGAAGACTCGGGACTGGAGAAAGTTCTTCTGAGGGTCTCAGAGGAGTCCAGGAATGGGGGTAGTGAGGTTGTTCAGAAAAGCCCAGGAGATTCACAGTCGGGGCAGAAGTTTCTAAGAGTGTTGGGTAGCCTAGGGAAGCCGGGTGGGGTTTGGAGGGATCTGGGGGATTCTGAAGGTTGCGGAAGCGTCTTCTGAGGATCTGGGGATGGCAGGGAGAGGGGGTGTGTTCAGAAAAGTACAGGAGACTCGGGGTTGGAGAAAGAGGCTTCTTGTCTAGAAGAGCCTGGGAGGCCCAGAGACCAGGAAGGCCAGGAGGGGCTGGGACGGGCCAAGGGATTCTGAGGGTTAGGATGGGGCACTCCTGAGGGGCGGGGATCTGGAGGAAATGGGGGAGGGATGGGGGCTCCGAGAGCGCGCTCACCCTGGCGGCCCGCGACGAGTAGGGGTCCTCGAAGAGCGCCCACACACGGGGCTGCCAGCGGCGCCACCACGTGCCGCCCGCGCCGCCCGCGCCCCCTGGCGGCCCCCCGGCGCCGCCGCCCGCGTCCTGGAAGCAGAGGCGCTTGAGCTCGCCGCCCGCGCCGTCCAAGCCGCCGCCGCCCGCACCCGCCTCGTCGTCCAGGCCCGCGTCGTGGGCGCCGGCGGCGTTGGCGGCGTTGGCTGCGCCCGCTGGGTCCGGAGCCTCGAAGGAGTCGAGCGCCTCTTCGGCGTCGCGGTGCTGCCGGTAGGTCATCCAGCAGCAGGCCTCCACGTCGGTCTCGTCGATGCCCCAGAAGCCGAGCTCCTCCTCGAAAAGCGGCCCGCACACGTCGGCCGGACAGTGCAGCTTGCCTGTGCGGTAGTAGTTGAGCACGTAGGCGAAGACTCCCGGGTGCCGGTCAAAGAAGAACTCGTCAGCGCCGGGATCGTAGTCGAAGCGCGCCGCCGCCTCGGGCTCCGTCAGGCCGGCCAGCCGCGTCCCCGGCAGGGTGCGCAGCGTCGAGCGGTACGTCTCATGGCGCACGCCGCCCACGTTGATCACGATCTTGCCGCTGTCGCCACCGCCGCCGCCGTGCCGCCCCATGGCCGCCGCCGGCAGCCCGGGGCATGGCTCGGCGCGCCGGCCCCCGGGCCCGCGAGGTGCCGGGGGGCCCGCCGAGGACGCGGCGGGGCCGGGCTGCGCAGACTGCTGCTGCTGCAGCGGCGGCGGGGACGGCGGCGGGGGCAGCGGCGGCGGGCACTCGGGCGGCTGCGGCGGTGGCGCCGGCTGCTGCTTGCTGGCCCCCTGGCGCCCGCGGAAGGACGAGACGCAGACTGAGCTCAGCATTGGACGGGGGGCGGGGCGGGAGGGGCGGGGCGTGGGGGGCGGGGCCGCAGGGGGAGAGGCAGACAGGATTGGGTGGAGGAGGCGACTAGTGGAGGGGGCGGGGCCGCGGTAGGGGAGGAACAGAACTGATTGGTCTGGGGGAGGTAGGGCGGGGCTGAGGCCGCTAGAAGGTCGGGGACTCCGCACGGCCGAGCTGGACCGGGCGGGGCTGCAGGTGAATCACACCGATTGGATCTTTCCGAGAGAAGGGGCGGGCGGAGCGAGGTGTTAAGGGGGCGGGACCGGCAACTAACGCTGCGGGGCTGGGCCGCACCGGGAAAACGGGGGAGGTGGGACTAGATATGAGATCTGATTGAACTGAAAAAAGGAGCGGGTGCCGCAGAGGAAAGGGACACATCCAAACTATTTAAAGATTTCTGACTGGCATGGGGGAGACGGTCCTGATTGGACAGAGAAAGGACCTAAAGAGCTGGCAAGCAGGACCGGGTGGGGAGGGGCGGATGGAGACAGTCGGCTTGGGTCCCTAACTTTGCTTTGTCGCGCGGCAGGGCGGACCTTAAGAGGCAGGGCCTGAGAACGAAAGAGTCCTAATTGGGCTGGGAGAGTGAGGGGGCGAGACTGAACGAGGGGCGGGAACTGGAAATGGAGTGTAGGGAGTACTTTCGCGCGAAGAGCACTAGGCTGGACTGACAGGAGGAATAGGGACTGAGACCCAGTGAGGAGGAGCGGACATAAGTGAAGCCTGGAAACCTGAGAGCGTCTGGCTAGGACTAAGAAAGGGGGCGAAGTAAGGAAGGGGAGGGGGAGGGGCAGGGGCTGCAAGTTTGGCCTGGTTAGACAGGGCTGGGCCGGGAGAATGAGTGTCAGAATGGATGGAACGGGACTGAGGAAGGTGGGTGGGGTCTACGAATGGTAGAAAGCCTCTTGAAGGCCCTGTGGGAAGGCAAGACTAAGGGAGGAGTCGGGTTCTAAGGGGCTTGAAAGCAACCAGGCTAGGCGGGGGTGGGGCAGGGTTCAGAGTAGAGAACGGATAATGGGTCCGCTACGGGAAAGGTGAGACCTGCAGGGTACAAAGCTACTGCGCTGGTTGGAAGGGTGGGACCCGGAATGGGGAATCTTGGGGGTCAGAGAACCTGGGAGAGAGTCATAAGAGTCAGTGGGGCTTCAGAGGGCGGTACAAGAATTTCCAACTGGTGATGAAAAAGGGACCAAGTCTACACAACAGCGGACTGCAGACTGGAGAACCAAGGGATGGATGAGGACTGGTGAAGAGGGAGCCTTAAGGGCATAGGAGGGGAGAAACCGAAGCGCCGGGAAGGCTAGGCTAGGCTGAGGAAATAAGCGGGGCCAATGAGAAATGGGGCGGGGCTAGGTGTCCAGGAGTCCCGGCGGGAGGGGAGAGAAGGAGGGTTGGGGCGGGGCTAGCTGAGGGGCGTGTCCGGCCCCGCCCCCTGGCTGGCCAGACGCCGGGTGGCAGGGCGCAGGCGCTGGGGCGGGGCCAGCGGCTGCTGCCGGGGCTGCGGCGGGAGGAGGTGGTGCCTGCGGGAGCGAAGGGGGCGGGTCAGGGGCTGCGGGCTTCCTCCCGCGGCACTATCCCTGGCCCGCCGCCTCCCTCTGCAGGTGCGGCGGCTGGTTCGTATCGCCTACCCACCCACCCCCGCTCCCGTTTCTGTGTCTCTCGATGTCTTTCTCTCCCCTTTCTCTGAGTATTTGTCCCGTCGTCTCTGCCCTCATCACTCTGAGACTCTGGCCCCTCTTTTCTAAGCCTCTACCCTCCCTCTGGGTCTCTGTCCCATTGTTCTCTGAATGTGTCCCCCTCCCTCTGAGTCTTTGCCCCCATCCTCTCCCCCAACTGTGTCTCTGTCCCCCCACCCCAGTCTCTTTCTCCTGGTCTCTGTACCTTTTCTTCAGGGATTTGCCTCTCTCTCTGGGCCTCTGTCCCCTCCCGGTCTCTGTCCCTCCTCTTTGTGTCTCTGTCCTCCACTCCTCCTCCCCCGCTCCCGCCTCGCCAGTCTGCCCCCTCTCTGGGTCGCTGTCCCCCTTGCTCTAAGCCCCTGTCTCCCTCTCCCTGGGTCTCTGTCCCCTCCAGCCCTCTGTCCCTCTTCTTTGTGCCTCTGTCCTCCACTCCCCTCTCCCAATCTGTACGCCCCACCCCAGTCTCTGCCCATTCATCTGCGTTTCTGTCCCCCTTGCTCATGTTCTCTGACAACCTCCCTCCTAGTGTCTTTTTTCCCTCCTCCACAACTTTCCCTCTTCTGTAAGTGCCCTTTCTCTTTCTGCCCTTTTTCTCTCTGTCCCCCTATTCAGGTCTCTATCCTTGCTCCCTGTGTCTCTTTCCTCTATATCCTCTTCCCCCCTCTGAGTCTCTGTCCCCACTTCTTTGGGACTTTGTCCCGCTGTCCTTTGGTCTTTGACCCCCCCCCCCATCACCCCCTCTAACCCCCATCCTGGCCAGGACTCCACGCTGCGTCACTGCGGAGAGAGTTGCAGAAGTGGGGCCTGTCCTGCAGACCAGGGAGGTAGTTTCCCTCACCCCCAGACCCTGGGCTCCCCCACTGCCCCCAATTCAGTATCCTTAATCCAGTATTCTTGGGCAGTCCTGAAGCCCCTGATGGGACCCAGGAAGGCAGAGAAAAGACATCGGAGCTCCCCACTCCTCTCTGCCCTGAATTCTGGTGTATCCCCAGGCAGAAGCAGTGAATTTGAGGTGAGGGACTGGACTCAGGTTGAGGCTTGGGTTGAGTGAGGTTTCTGAGCAAGTCGGGAGTCGGGGTGGAGGCTGGAGCAGGGGTTGGGTAGGCCCGAGGGGTGGGAGTAGGGGCTAGAATAAGAACCTAAATCAGCCATGCTCCCTTATATCCTCTCCCCTCCCCCCAACTCCACTTTTCTCTTCTGCTTTTGACAGCAGCCGGGCACGGGATCAAGTGACCAAATCAGCGTTTTTGCAGAGGCCAGAAGGTGTGGGAGAAGGTGCGAAGGAGAGGGGGCTGCCATAGGGGAGAGTATGGGATGAGACTCCAGATTAGAGACCATGGGAGTGGCGAGGAGGCCCCAGAACAAGGAGTAACAGGATAGTCCAGACTCCATCAGGCCCTGGGAAAACTGAATGCCATCACTCCCTCATGGCCCTCCCCAGGCCCCAGCAGGTTATCTGGGGGGATTTGTGAGCCTGGGTACTGTACCCATGGGGTAGGCTTCTGGAGGCATAATGTAGGTTCCGGTTATGGGACACCCAGCCCTGCAAACAGACCAGAGGGAAGTGGACTCGATTTTTGGTGATAGACACCAGTAGGGTGTAGGCCAATGTCCGTCCTCGTCTTCAGACCTTTCCCACCCCTCCTCCTCCCCAATCTATCCTTTCCCTGCTCTTCCAGGCACAAAATTCCTGAAAGCTCCAAACTCCCACCTCCGTCATCCTCGGTGCCCTCTCTTAATTAACTTCCCCTCCCCCATTCTCCAAGACCCTGGAATTGGGAAAGGGTCTCCCGCTTCCCGATTTCTAGGACCCCAGCTTCGTTCCTCCGCCCCCATTCCTATCAGTTCTAAATCTAGGAAAGAGGGCCTCCTGAGCACTAAAGCTGAAAATATGGAGACTCTCTGCCTACGATCCTTGGTTCCCCAGACCCTCCAAGAACCCTGGCCCCCAAACCTCGTTATTAAGGAAGAATCTCTCCGCTGTAATTTTTGAGTCCTCATCTCCCGGGTCTCCCACCTCCAAAACTGGGATTTGGGCCGTCTTACCGCCCCCGGACCCTGTGCCTTCTCCCCCTCCCCCGTACTCACCCCAAGTCGAGGCGGGGCGGGGATGGGGGAATCCGGGGCTAGCGTTGGGGGAGGGGTGACCCAGCCCCGGCAGCTCAGGGCAGCAAGAGGCTGCGGAGGGGGGGGAATGACATCATCGCCGGAGGAGGGACAGCACAGCTCCCCCCAACCCGGGGGCTTCAAGCCCCGCCTTTATGGCGGACCCAGGGGTCTCAGAATCCCAGGGGAGAGAGGAAGAACAGAAAATGAAGTCTGCGGGAATCGCGTCCCCACCCCTTAAAACAAGGGTTGGAAAGCCCTTTACGATTCAGCCACCACCCCCCACTGCCACCTGTCGCTGCCGTCGCGACCTGTCGCCTCCCACGCATGTTGTGGCTGCGCCCGCCCCCGGCAAAAGAACACGGCCTGGAATACAAGGTCCGTGATGCTCCGCGGTGCCGGGCGCCTTTGTCTATAGGCGGCATCGGCGAAGGGCTTCATGGGATTCGTAGTACAAGGCCCCCCGCACTGGTGGGAGCCCTGCGCTGGAGAAAAGGAGTGATTCCTTTCTCCTTCCTTTCTTCCTCAACTCCAGAGAGCTGAACACTTATTTTTCTCTCCAAAAATCGTGCGCTTAAAATTAAAAAAAAAAGGGGGGGGGGAGGACCCAGGGAGGGTCAATGTAAATAACGGATTTTTACTGAGTGGCTGGGCCTCGGCTACCACTCGGTGCGCATGCGCCTAGCCAGGGCGCCAACCGGAGAACTGCGCCCGCGCGGGCCCACCCCCTTGTGGTCCTGCTCCCCGAGAGCGAGCGCGCGCCAGCCCCACTCGGGCACCGCCTGTTAGGTTCCCGCGATCGAAGACCGCTACGTAGGACCGCAAGAAGACATCGCCGAGAATCCAGAGGGGCCCTGCAGGCGGAGGTATGTCCAGGGCCTGGAAGCCAGAAAAGCAGAGGCGGACGCCACCCCGAGCAATCTGCAGGGCGACAAGAGAGGCCACTGGGTGTCACGCGCACCGAACCCTCCTCTTCTTCCCGGGGAGCCAGAGCTTTGCCCCCGCCCGCTATCCCGGGCACCAGAAGTGTTTCTGTGGCCCCTCTTCGGTCCTGGTGATGTCTCATTCCTAGCTCCATCCTCTCAAATCACATCTTATTGCATCACTCTGACTTGTGACGGCCACCTACCTGGATGACATAGTCCTGGGCTGTAAGGTTAAACCAGACCCCACCAAGGAGGAAGGAGATTGGAGGAAGCGTTGGAATTTTCGAGCACTGGATGAGGTACTGAAGGAGAAGAGGAACAAGTGGAGTTGAGGGATTCCTGCTTAAAATAGATACTCAGGGCCTTGTGTGGTCAAGCTCTGCTGCCTTCTCTAGCCTTACCAGCTCTCCCCCCAACACACATAATTATTGCCACTTCCTTTAGACTCCCTTTTGATCAAACCTTTTCCTCCATCTACTTGTGGATCAAAAACTGCTGGCCCCGTGAGGGACACCGAGCCCACAGTTGTATTGAAATTGTCTTAGCGTTTCAAAAATGTTTTAAAAATTATTTACCAACTGTACACCACGGTGGTACAGGTTGTATCCTTGGAGTCTGCTGCTGTGCAACCTTAGACAAGTTACTTAACCTCTCTGTGCCTCAGTTTCCAATTTGAAGGTGTAGTTGATAGTAATACTTCATAGAGATGTTGTGTGAGAAATAAATGAGTTAGTTTGGAAGAATGCCTGACACATAGTAAGAGTGTTATTATTCACGAACCAGGAGGTTTCAGATCATGTTTTCAGCTTTCTCCAACAAACCAGAAGATCTGGCTTTCCCTGCATGGAAACACTTGGCTGGAGCTGAGTGGCCTAGAGCTGCACTTTTTAGACTGATGGGGTACCTGCTCTCCAGTTTGCCTCCAATCCCACCCCCCCCAAGTACCTAAGAATACAATATTAGGCTGTAAATATTGGAAATGTTTACATTTGTAAATGACTGTAATGTAAATGACTACCAGGAAGTGTATCTTCCTCAAAAACCAATA